TGATCATATCATTAAGTCTTTCGTTGTATTTCTTCCATCTCGACCCGTTTGTGCTTGTAAAAGTGTGTGTTCGGGTGTATGCCTGTGGGAGAAGATTGCCCACTCTTATCAGTGTTCATCCAGTGGTGTGTAAGTGGTAGGGTAACTTGAGCTGCTCCTCGGGAGCTCAGGCACGAGTCGACCGTGATATAATCCCTTTGACTAGTGACCAGACTACTGCCACCTCTCATTCCTGTGTGACTGTTTGCTTTTCCATTATGATGAGCTTGTGTCCTTGGTTTTCATGAGAGCTTAAGCAGTAAATTTGCTCTGATTTCTCTTATTATTCAGAACAGGCCATATTAGTTCAAGCGAATAGTTCACCCTAAAGTAACATTTGTCATCATTTACTTGCCCTCATGTCATTCTGAATTTACATGCTGTTATTTTTCTATGTAATAGAAGCGTGAAATATCTTCTTTTGTGTTTAATGAAAAAAAAAATACCAGCATATAAGTTTAGAACAACATGAGGGTGAGTAAATAAGCACTAGATAAAGTGTAAACTGTTCCTTTAACAGTAAATATACCATGATTCATCCAAGATTAAACTGTTTGTTTTCAGTGTTAGCTAACTAGTGTTGGTGGATGTTGGGTCATCCCAGACCCATCAGGTGCCTAGAAGAACACAGAACAGGCTCATTCATTGTGTGTGTTGGACTGTCTGTGTGAGTGTGTGTCTGTGTGTGTGTTTTAGTGCAGTGGATTAGGTGGGATTATGGGGCTCAGGGTTCACTGAGCCTTTGTCCAGCTGCTCAGTGCCGTCTGCTTAAAGCCAACTTTCTAACACAGAGAAAACATAGAGAGTGAGAGGAAATCAGAAGACTTCTTTATGTGGTTTAAGCCTGTTTATTAGAGCCCGACCAATATGGGTTTTTTGGGGCCGATACCGATACCGATATTAGGGAGCTTGAGCTAAAGAGATCCCCCGAATTTGGTGCGGATTCGCCACGCCGTTACGGAGATATGGCCGTTCAAAGTTTCAGTGGTTTTCCATAGACTTAAGCTTTAAAGCGTTTCATCCAGGTCGCCAGTAGCAAACAATGGAGCGCGCTCTGCTGGACAAACTAAGTAATTACACCATTTCAAGCATTTTATCTGCATTATATGTTCTGTAAAAAAAAATTTCATATCGACGGCATATTCGCCGATACCGATATATCGGTGACAGGCTCATATCGGCCGATAATACCGACAAAAAGATATATCGGTCGGGCTCTACTGTTTATAGTGGAATTTTCTCTCTGAATGTGACACTGAAGGTGTCACATTACTAGAATTATTATTGACTCATTTTAATTACTCATTTTAATAACCCCATTTAAAATAGAATAAAAATGCATTATATTTTGAAGAAATACATTGTTTTGTATAAAAAAAAAAGCTAAAATATTGCCTTTTTAGGATTTTTTTACATTGTCACTTTTTCTTGAAAATTAAGCAAACTTTCTGAATCAGCATGACCAAAGCTGCTATAATCTGGAATTTTTTCTTTTTTTATTTGTAATTCCCATTATTCTCAGTGTGAGTAGTGGGAATCGTGTTCAAATTGGATTTTTTTTAATACTGTATGTATGATATGTATGTGAGTATTTTATTTTATAAGTATTTTTATAAATACTTGAATATATGAATACTTTTAAATATTATTATATTAATAATAAAATAATAATGTAAAAATGTGCTTAATTGTCATGAAAATAATGTCACTATTAAAAAATCTAATTATTCTCTAAACTGCTTCCTTTTCAGTTGAAACCATAATATATTGTTTTCTTAGATTTTTTTTTTTTTTGTGTGTGTGTGAAAGTGTTGTGCGTTTTATCCTTGAATTTGTTTTCTGTTGAATGCATGTTGTCATTTTAGGGTAGCTGAAAGACATTTTGAGTAATTTGTGTAGGGTAGATGGTGTCTGAGCTCTCTGCAAGGTCAGAATCACACACATACACAGAGGCATAGAGATGCACGAGTCACAAAGAGAAACTTCATTGATTGATTGATTTCCTGTGGGTATTTTAGGATTTTCCATGATGAACAAGGTGATGCAGAGAATTTGACTTTGCTGTGGTCCATGACGTAAGTCTTGGATTTAATTTGTACAGCTTAATTGATGTTGTCAACAGTTGACCAAGACCTCATATGTGGTTAAATTCCTGCCACAACCTAAACACTTAATGCCAAATACAAGAACATTCAACATGTTCTCAATGTCCTTTATATGAAAGATATCCACATGCATGTCCATTCAGATACAGGCATTCTTTGAAGGGGTAATAGCTCATATTTCTCATCTTACGTAAGCGCTTAAGAGGCTCGGCCCGGATTTAATCCAGCCCTGACGGAGAGGGAAAAGCAGAGCCATACAGCAGCCAATGCCGTCACGGTCGTTGACACTCGCTGCAGTTGCAAAAAGGTTACTTGTAATGCTGGAATGTAAAGACACATGGTGTTAGGTGACTCCCTTTACCCTGATCTAAGATCAGCTTTCCTTGCATAATCCAAACCTATTAAAGCTGACGTGAAGTCACCAGCAGTAGCAAGAGCAGATGCTTCAGAATACCACATGTTGAGTGAAGTATTAGTAACGAAAAATGAAGAGGGAAATTAAGATATGTGCAAATCTGCTAGGATGAATATTTCACACTGTTGGTTTTATTGCCACATAGTTTTCCACTTTTTGCTTTTACTTAATGTAGTACGGGAAATGAATGCAAAAGGCAGTAGCAGCAGTGGGCATCCTCTCTTACAATTTTCTATCATGTTATTAGTGCTGCTTACTATCATCACTATTATAGTATTTCTCATATTAACCCCTATTGTAAGTATTAAAGGGATAGTTCACAGAAAAATAAAAACTGTCATCATTTACTCATGTAAATGTCATTCCAAACCTGTTATAGAGTCTAGTGTTCTTTCAATTCAGAGAAAAAAGAAGGTCATGCAGGTTTGAAACAGTGTTATTTTAGTGTTACATAAATATATTAGGGGTGCTCCGATTGATTGGCTACTGATCACTATCGGCTGATAATCACGTTGGGATGATTGATCGGCGGTCTCTAAAAAGGCCGATCTCAAAAAAACGATCTCAAGCTGATGACACTGCCGTGAGAGGTTTGGCTCGACATGCAGCGGTGCCGTCTCAGTATCTGTCCGGCGCGGTTTAAATAATTATAATGCTGAAGGTGAGGTACTCACCTTCATATTTCTCCATTAAATAACTTATAAAGTAATTTGAAAATCTTGTGTGAGACGTAATTTCACAAACAGCGTGAGTGAATCACCGCGCGCGCGCTCTCTTTCTCTCTCAAAATACGCAAATGGCTTCAAATCACCACATCGCGTCTGTCTATAAGCGAGCTGCACAGTTGACACAGGAATTGTCACTTGTACAATCGAGGCAGTGTCACATCGTCACTAAGGTTTATAAATTGCATTACTTTTTCATTCTTGCCGGTGTTTAACCATGCAGCGCTCGCGCGCTCTCCTGGAGACCGTGCGCTCATGCACACTGGCAGCGCACACACATAATGCCAGGTTCACATTACTCCGTTTGCAGTGCATATGTGTTGCGTATTTTTTCTGCACTCATGTTAACTGATTAATAAAGCGTGCACACTGCGCACGGCTGCTGTCCGGCAGTGCGTTCAGGAGCGGTGCGTCTGCAGCAGTGCAGAGATCGTTTTCACAACGAGTCTGTTTGCTGCGCTGCAAGCGCTGAATTAAAGTAACAGCGCATTGTTTGCAGTAAATATGAACATGGATTGACACGAAAATGTAGTAATTACACCATAAATGCATATTATTAAAGTCTACTGTGTTTCACAATCAACACATATGGCTTTTTGGCTAGGTTTAAAGGATGTGATCGGTGATCGGCCTCAAAAACCCTGATCGGAGCACCCCTAAAATATATATAATAATTTTTGTTAGTAGAAATAGCTTTTATTTTTAGATTTTCAGGTTTCACATTTTGTTATGGGCTTTTGTCATTTTTATTTAATTTTTAAATATTACAAATTAGGTTCAATTATTTTGAAGTTTTAGTTTTTATTTATTTCCATTTAGTAATTTTTAGTGCTTCAACTTATTTTTAGTTGCCAAAGCGACATTTGTAATGTATGTTGAGTTTTAAGTTTTTAATATAATATTTATAATATATTTTGTTTCAGCTGTATAAAAACAAAAATGTTTTTAATAGTTTTAGTTTTAATTAAAGATAATAACCTTGGTTTAGAACAACATGAGGGTGAGTAAATGATGACTGAACTTTCATTTTTGGGTCAACTGTTCCTTTAAACTTCAGTGTAACATTAAATGTAGATGAATAATATCGTATATCATGCAGTTTTATCATTTTTGCCTGGTGGGTGATAAAATGGGTTATATATATACACAGTATATATATATATATATATATATAATGTATGTTTGTGTATATACAGTGGTGTGAAAAAGTGTTGGCTCCCTTCCTGATTTCTTATTTTTTGCATGTTTGTCACACTTTAATGTTTCAGATCATCAAACCCAACACTTTTTCACACCACTGTATATATCATAGAGTTATATTGAAATAGGGACTCAAGTCATATGTAGAGACTAGAATATCATACAGACTACCACCTAGCAACCACCTTAGCAGCTCTCTCTGTCTTTCTCTCGTTCTTTGTTATGAAACTATGTTCCTCTGCCTCAAATCAAGCATGACAAGAACCATAAGTTCTGCATCTGTTCTCTTTCGCATCAGAGCAAACTCTATAGTTGTAGCTCAAAGCTGGTTCCTCATTTGTGCACCTGTTTTCTCCAGTGAGTGGATCTGACCTGTGAACTCGAGGCAGGCCTGCCGACCATGTCAGTACTGATTAACGAGTGTGTTCTCAAACAGGAAGCAGTCACATTGGATGGATGATGCATGAATATCTATGAATAAATGAATAATCCACTCTCTCTGTCTCTTTGTTTCAGTGTACAGGAGAGGAGAGCTGGGTGGACAGCAGGACCGTTTATATTGGACATAAAGAGCCTCCACTAGGAACAGAAGCATACATTCCACAGAGATTTCCTGACAACAGAATCGTCTCCTCAAAGGTCAGATGTGCTCAATGGCCAAACAGTTATCTGAACCAAAAACAATACGTAAGGGATGATGTACAGTGAGCCGATCATTATCGCAAAATAAACTCATAAAACATGATCAGGACATATGGTCAGGTGGTCTTATATCACCATGGCTGGCCCTTTTTGTATTCCAATTTATATATATATATGCATTAGAAAATGTATATTAAATTACATTTATTTTTCTTAAAACATTGACCCATTTTTGCTTGTTTTAAAGATAAAGTTTTGTTTTGTTAAACTTATCTCTTTTTCTCCACAGTATACTTTCTGGAATTTTATACCGAAGAATCTCTTTGAGCAGTTCAGAAGAATCGCCAATTTCTATTTTCTGATCATCTTTCTAGTGCAGGTTTGTGATGGTGTCTCTTATGGAAATTGTCCTATTAGCATGAGCTGACCTTTCTGTGACAGCATGATGTGTGATATTTCCCTCTCACCATCTTTCTCTGTAGCTGATCATTGACACACCTACCAGTCCTATGACCAGCGGTCTGCCTCTTTTCTTTGTCATCACTGTCACAGCCATTAAACAGGTGAGAAAAGACCCCTAACTTTCCTCTCTAATAGGTGTCATTATTAAGTCACTCCTTCAATGGTCTCTCTGCTTGTACCTCTAAATCTCTGCAGGGCTATGAAGACTGGATCAGGCACAAAGCGGACAACGCTGTAAACCAGTGTCCAGTCCACGTCACCCAGCATGGCAAAGTCGTACGCAAACAGAGTCAAAAGCTACGGGTGCGTGAGCACATAGAATGAGTATAAAATCTGGGGCTCACACCATATAGATTAGTGAATTGTGCCATTAGCACCACCACATGGATTTGAAAAACACGACTGTTTTCAAACAGGTTTCCCTGAACAGTTCTCTTTGTTTTCCATTGGTGAAACAAACTTATACCATTGGTTGGGCTGCTCATGACACTTAAATGAATAGCAGTGTTTTGAAAGTCCCACAGTGTTTGTATTTTTGTGAAATCAACTTATAAATGGCTTAATATCTATGCAGATTAACCTGGCATTGGTGAAAATATTTTAATGCTAAAAAATACAAATTTCAGCTCTGAAAATGTGTGTTTTTTTATTATTATTCTCAGAGAAATAAATCAAAGTTTCGCTCTACTAACCAGCTTTCTGCTTACACAGCCAGCTTGCTGTTTGGAAACAGAATGTTGTCATGTCAACAAGCAGAATGACAGTGTACCCACGTAACCCACAAAGCACTGGGAATCTTTTGTTATTTAATTGTGAAACTATTGCTCTCTCACTCTCTTTCAATATAGAATATAACATTTTATATAAAACTTGAAAAGCACAGTGAAAAACACTGGAAGCTGTGATGATAAAGAGAGAATGTGCTTGAATACTTACCATTACAGGTTTTCATACTGATAATCCGGTCAGCATGTGTAATCCGTTACACAACACATGCAGACAGGCCAGCAGGAACAACTACCAGGATCAGGATTTTCATTTTTTAAGATTCATGAATATGATTTTTTTTTACGTAAGAGGCAACTCATTATCTAAAGTTGATTTGTTGATAATTGTGTCACACAGTTATATTATATATTACTTTATTCAATCACTCTGTCAGGGAACATACTGAAATCATTATTAATCTGTATTTAGGTCAGTTCAGAAGTAACATTTAGATATTCGTAACACAAGATGACCAAGAAAAGATGAACACTTGATGACCCATTCTTAAAGCAACACTATGTAACTTTTGGCGCTCTAGTGGTTAATAAACAGAACTGTACGCATCCCGCGGAAGAACATTCTAACCGGAGCTACTTCTCCAAGTTTATGTCTATGGCGATTCACGCAGGTATGTGTTACTCCGCAGCGGTGACGACCGGAATAGGCTACAATAGTCCGAATATAAGCACTTATTATAAGTGTACCGTAGTGATTCGGGATAAGACAAAAAGGCGGTTTAGAAGATTAATTCATTATGTACTCGCTCATTATATACATTTTGCAAATTTTGAACACAGAAAAGTTACATAGTGCTGCTTTAAAGTCACAGTGTGTATTTTCTGCACCACTAGTGGTAACGAATGGAATTGCAGTTTGTTTCAGTGTCCTGAGGTAGCAACATTTGCTCAGCCAGTGGTGTGAGTTTGGTGCAGGATTGCTGGTTTTGTCCAAACAATGGTTGTTGGAGACTGTTTGGAATCAGTCATGATTTTTGCAGTTGGTATGATGTTGCTAGTGACACAAATTATACTCTTCACCTATAAGTATAAACCAAGAGAGATTTTAACAAACTTTTTCCTACTTATAAAACTACAGCACAATATAAAATATTCTCACTTTTGGTTTCTTCAGGTTGTTATTTGATTCAAACCGTTACTGTTAATGTTGAATTTGACCCTTTCTTGTCCTTCAAACTTTCAGGTGGGTGATATTGTCCAGGTGAAGGAGGATGAGATGTTTCCATGTGACCTCATACTGCTCTCCACCAGTAGAGAAGATGGAACATGTTTTGTCACAACAGCCAGCTTAGATGGAGAGTCCAGCCATAAGGTGATTGGTCATTTTATAGCAAGGCAAATATTACTGTTATTATTCCTAAAACCTAACATTAGGGGTTTATTCTAAACTGTTATATTGTGACTGAAATGTCTTGGCCGGACTATATAGCACACTGCCAGTAATTCTTATTAGATAGGAGAGGGAAGAGAAGTTTTTGACCTTGGAATGCCTGCTAGGTTTCTCTTGTGCTCTCCTCTCTATACAAAGACCTATTATGCAGTTCAGGACACAAAGGCATTCAACACAGCAGAGGAGGTGGACACACTGCACTCTACGATAGAATGTGAACAACCCCAGCCAGACCTCTACAAGTGAGTGATACACACATATATCAGCAGTAAACACATAAACAAATGCTCTATCTTACAAACACTCACTATGCATAGAACTACTGTTGGACTGGCACAACAACATGTCACACACTCCAGATACCCCATTTAACTTCACACACACACATTGATATAGAGCCCAGACTAGACATTAATTTCTTTCTTTTTCTCCTCTTCTGCTGTAGATTTGTGGGACGCATCAATATTTATTTGGATCGAGACGAGCCCATCGCGAGGTAAATCTATACTCAGGAAATTGACTCTTAATTAAGGGGCTAGTGTGTGAAAGATTGAATTCAGGAGGGACACTTTATCATTTTCATAGAACAAGTCTTGATGATTGGGTGAGTGGTCAGTGATGAGTGAGTCATGATGATTATGATGTTTTTTGATGTAAAAATCTTGAAAGTGGACCATAGAGAACGGTACAAAATAAAAAACAATTCATTACCACTTTAAAATAGTCCTGCAAGTGTAACAGATGAATTTGCAGTACAATACATACACACATAGTGTAAAAAGATGTGAGCATAACTTTTTTGTAATCCTGCATTTGACCTGTTTGATTATTTTAGACCCCTGGGTTCTGAGAACCTGCTGCTGCGTGGAGCCACACTGAAAAACACTGAATACATACATGGTAATAAATAATAACACTTCGTATTTACATTTCATTTATGTGCATACACATTATTTATCTTTGCAGTCCATTTTTGTGCTCAGTCCAATCTTACTGATGTCAATGATGCTAAGATCCATCACTATAACCTGGTACAATGCTTATGTGATTTTTTTAGGCAATAGGAAGGGCAGGAGAATGAGAGGAAAGTTGCTGATTGAGTCGTTCTGTCACTCTGTTCCCACTGTAATTAAATGAGTCACTGAGGCTTGTGAGATCAGAAAGAAGTTCTTAATTGCTAGAGCGAGAGAGAAAGGGCGAGAGAGGGAGATGAATGTCACATTATACACGTGAGGATTCTAAGAGCAGGGCGATCTCTAAAATTGTTTAACTTTGTTACAGCGGAGCTATTATGACATAATAGCACCGTACGGTAGAACAAAAAGAGCTCAGTTATGTAACAATGGCTTTTACATTATCAAAGCATCAAAGAGGCTGTACAGAGATGGTCATAGAGGGGAATTACAATCTCACAATGCTCTTTTTCCTGTCTTGTTTCTCTAGCTGTTGCCATCTATACGGGCATGGAAACCAAGATGGCCCTCAACTACCAGTCCAAGTCTCAGAAACGCTCCGCTGTTGAAAAGTAAGACACGGTGATAGGCTTTCGATCAGTTTATCTTGCTGTCAGCATGTACAGGGTAATGCATTTAGTGTGCTTGTTTGTAAAGCAAATTGCGGGCTGGCTTCTGTATTTGATGTCACAAATTGTATCAAGTTGCACTCACATGTGTCTCGCTGACAATTCTGTCAGACAGATAGATGCAGCCATTAAGAAAACCATATAAAATATGTTTATATTGAACAAGCAGGTGTACTTTCAGAGATCTGCTTTCAGAGTTCGGATAACATTGACTTTTTCAATCAGATAAATTTTGATTTTTTTTTTAGACCATAATTTAATATTATAGATGTCATTCGGACAAAATATTTTTTTTTTCTGAAAAAGGATACGGGTGATTAAACTCACAGACCCTCAGGGAAAGTTACTGCGGTTAGATCTTGTCACCCTGATGAATGATATGTGTCTTTGCCATTAGGTCCAAAAATTATTATGCTCAGTCTGGGATCATTTAATCACTTTTTGTCCTTTTGCAGGTCTATGAATGCCTACCTGATTGTGTACCTCTGCATTCTGATCAGTAAAGCTCTGATCAATACTGTCCTGAAGTATGTCTGGCAGGCCAACCCAAACCGAGATGAGCCCTGGTACAACCAGAAAACTGAGACTGAGAGGCAACGGCATGTAGTACGCGCTATAAAACAATGCTTATTATTATAATAGTTTTTTTTTTATTTAATTTTTAACAATTTATTATAATTTATTATTACTTTTATATTTGTTATATATGTATTGTTTTATTTGATAAAAAAATGAAGATAGTTAAAAAAATGTATTATTCAAAATGAAAACGTAATTTAACTTTTTTAGAGAATGACAAATTCTGTTAAGTGAAAACGTCTCTAGGTTACGTATGTAACCATGGTTCCCCGAGGGAACGAGACGCTGCGTTGAGAATCGCTTTGGG